AGCTCTACTGAGTGTTTTAACATCTTTACGCTCAATGCTTGGGTTTTATGGTCCCTAACTTCACTGCTTTAGTCTGCTCTCACTGCTCTCATTGACCTTGTTTCCAGCAGCAGACAGCGACTTTCAAAAGAAAATCTTTGATAAATTCCATGTTACCTGAGCGGCACCAAATGGCAGACAGACAAATTAGCTACTAGCTAAGTTAGGGAGCATTTAGCAGCTAGGCACCTAGGTATTTTCACTTGACAGTGGTGTTTACATTCAGTTTTTCCTCACCCAAGTTGTGTGTGAGTCTGTCCCTGAGAAGAAATGTGTTTTTTCATTGTGCACATTGTGCAATATCATTTACTTATGAGATCTTTAAAATCATGATAACTGATTATAACTGGGGCTTCCTGATCACCTAATGGTCCATACCAAATGACTGCAACTGCCACAGTTTGATTCTGGCCTGGGGACTTTTGTTGGCTCTCATACCCCACCCCACCCCCCTCTCTCTTCATGTTTACAGTCCCTCTAAACTGTGATTGTCAAATAAAGGCAAAACATGAAAAAGAAAAAAATCCTCCATGAATATATTGTAATCTTTTTTGTTTTTCCACATATTATGTGATTATATTTATTTTGTGTTGTTTTTTTTCATATCTCTTACTGTACTGCTGGCCAGCAACACGACAGTTAAAGCTGCATTAATCAATATTTTTATATTAACCATGGACTAAATGACTATGTGTAATGTGAAAGGGATCACTTGTCAATCACCCACAGAAAATTAACAGCCAACTTTACAGTTCCCTCCAGCTCAGTGGATCATTTTAGCTCTTTTCAGCTCATTGTTTTGGTTTTCCTACAACTTTCAAATTAGTGTATGCTACCTGCCCAGCACCAAACAGCAGACGGATAAACAACAAAGAGGAGCCTGATATTTCCCTTAGGAGTTGGTGGAGACCAAAACAGTGCTACAAGGAGTGTGATTATTGAACTTAAATTTGTCAGGTGACCACAAACATGACTCCGTACAAATGCTGATATTGCTCTTTGTCTCCCAGATGTGCAAATATCTAAATTCCTACTTGTTCCTTGGTCCAAATAAAGCATAAACATTTTTATTTTGGTAGGATTTAGGGTTAACAATTGGGAATGGAGCCTCACCTCAGAGGAAGCTTTGACACCTGTAATATCATAGAGCTGAGGATGAAGTCTGTGTTGTGTTGGCTTTCCAATTTTACTTCAGTGTGAACATTGGCTCACAAACCAAAGTAAATTATCACATTAAAGAAAGATCAATCAGACTTGAAACCCTTGAGAAGGAGTGATATACTGTCTCATGCATGGACTCCCTCCTTCAGTGTTTTTTTTTTTTTTTTTTTTACTTTAGTTTCAAAGAAAAAAGTGGGAAACAGTGGGAAAGCAGGGAAGAAAGTGAAAACGGGTGACCTTTACTGATTTGGCTCAAGACTGTGGAAAAAGAGCATATACCTAGCTGAAAGGAGCATGCTGAAACTGCAAAAGCTCACAGCCCTCCTGTGCTTACATCAGTTACATCTGCAGGCTAATTGGAAAAGCCTGAGAAAAGAAGCATGCTGGAACACCTATTTCAGCATTTCTGCAATTATTTTGCTATGTGGATGCTTGTAAATTTTAAAAGGTTTCATTTTCCACTGGTCAACTTGCCAGCCATGTGGGGGATTTTATTTATGTCTTTTCACAGCCAAAATAACCCTCCCCCCAACCCCCACACACACACTCACGCACCCACAGAAACACAGGCTAGTCTCCATTATGTCAGAGTGAAGGTGATAAGAGACATAACACACACCTACTTGGAGTGTCTGCATGTTGTCTCGGAAACTGAAAGATGGAGGAAAGAGCACTCTTCCCTGCCCATACACACACACACACACACACACGCATGCGCCAGGCCACCTACACACACACAGGAAGCCACAGAATTACCACAATTAAAACAACAACATGGCTGCTAGTGTGGGAGTTTTGGGGGGTTTTTGCTGAGTATTTGCTAAAGCCACCTTTAAGGTATTTGCAAATCCTAACATCACTCACACAGGAAGATCAGACGCCCATATGACTCTGACATGACTTTATGCAACTATGTTTCTTCAGAATGAATGTCTGATTGTCCTTTATGTGGATGACTGAAAGGACACTAGGCCAAAGTGTTGTGCAAGCAGATGTAAAGTAGACTTGAGGTCACAAAATACTTGAGAGGTGCACATCAAGTTGTAATCTGTTAGAATTTCATGCAACTCTCTATCTCCTGCTAATCTTCCATATATCAACTAGCATTTGTAGCTTTAAACACTGGTGCATGTGCTACAGTGGGTCTTTCCAGTGGCAACATGGATGAAGAAACAAGCACAAATGAGGGACTTTATGGTTGAAATAATCAATATTCTTATAATTAACAGTATCTCAAAAGACTATGTGTAGGCCTAAAGTAAAGTAAAAGAATTTTTGGAGTTTCATGGCTGCAATGTTTCTGCTTGGCTCAGTCTCAATATTCACATCAGTTTTGTTTCCAGCAGCGGGTAAACCCTGTGTATGCTACTTGTTCAGCAATAAGTGAAAGATAGACAAAGTTAGCGTCTAACTAGTGAACATAGTACAACACTTAGCTAATGTGCCAGATATTGTTCTCAGTGGTTGATGGGGCCCAGGACAGAGCAAAAAAGGAAATGAATAACTTGGACAAACGTGATTCCAAATGATTGCTAATCTTGGTTTGTGTCTGCTGGATGTATTTAGGGATCTGTTTGTTATCCCATTAGCCATGACAACTCAAAATGGCGACAATATGTCAATGTTGTGATTACAGCTTGTTGTGCTCTGCCCCTTAAGTGGCATAATAATAATAATGACATTAATGTAGTTTTTAAGATCCTTTATATTCATTTTCATTAAGAAGATTTACACCTCGAAGAGATGTGTGTGAGCTGATAGTCTTTAAAGAAAGCAGAATGCATGCACAACAGGCAGAAAGGCTGTGTTGTGGTTTGGAGGACTGTCCTTCAGCTGAAGGACTTCCTGTGTCAACAAGCATCCACCCTGCTGAAATGTCATTGAGCAACATGCTAACCCACAACCAGCTCCAGAGACATTTTTTTTTTTCGTGTCTGAGCCTGACCTCTGACCTCTCCCTGACCTCTCATCTTCCTGACTAGAGGGGGGGAGAGGAAAAAGAATAATGTTACAGGAAGAAATAAAGCTTAAAGAGTTCCCCTCTTCTTTTCCCACAGAGGGTAAGGTGTGTTCATTTATGGTTTTAGTGTTTTAGTTTTAGTTTTAGTCTGCAATCTTTTTCGCTGTCTCAGTGCAAGTGTATGATCTATGTAGACATTCAAAATGTGAGTTAAATCAGAATCCATACATAGAGAGCAGTAGATGAACTATCTATATGTAGGCTACAAACAGGAGAATATGCCACCCAAAACATATGATATTTATGAATCAGGTTCAGAGCTGTATGCACTTGTAAATGTTCAGATTGGTTCTCATTATCGTCCAGCATCTCATTTTTATCAACCGAATCCAGAGTGAATTGCGGGGAGAGGAACATTACCAAGCAGTGGTTGAAACCCCAGAGGTCTCCCGGGGACTTTATCCAAGTTTATCTATCATCTGCCTTGTCAACACAATACTGCTTCTTTATGGACCAGAGCTAATACAGCAGTTGCCCTGTATAACCTACACGCCTATTCCACAGAGAAACCACAAGGAAAAACTCACACTGCAAACAAGCAGGGAAGCACGAGGCCGGCAGGGAAGAAAAAAAGAGTGATGTTCTCGCCCAGACAGAGGCCCTTCATTGAGAAAACGACAAGTAATAATGCATTATATTCATATTGGAGCGGAGCCCAGAGTTGTCCACTGTGAATATTACCTTTCAATATTAACCTCTCAGTGATGGAGCAGCTCTATTAATAACAGAAACTCAGTTACTGTTGGATTTCTATCAAAAGGGGAGACTTGTGTTTGGTTGCCTGTATCCTCATCTTTCAGTGTGTATTCCAACAGGTTGCCTGAAACCAAGAATATCAATTTTTGTTGAGGAAGATGAGGATGGAGTATGATCTATAAAAACATGTAATATAATTACACGTGCCAATGAAATTTGAGAGCTTAAATCTGAGAGGGCTTCCTGTGAGTTAAAAGTTTATTCACTATGGTAAATATTTTAGTCTTCTGTTCAGGAAAATGTTTCAGAGATGGAACATGTTTTCACTGGTAAAAGCAACAGCTGTAAATCAGAGGCCGTGTAAGTTGTAAACAATTTCATATCCAGATGTTGTTTCATAAGAGAATCATCAAGAAACAACTAACATTGCTACTTAAACTGATCTCATGTTCTTCTTCCAGGAAACAGGGGTAAGGAGGAGTCTAATCCAAGTCAGCCCAGTATTACACTAAGTCCCTGTGTCACTGTGGTGACTTCATTTAGCAGGAATGGCGTAGAATGAGTTTTACTACAATACTAGAGGCTCTGCAGCAGTACATTCTCATCTGGATCAGAGGACACTCCAGGCACGCTTTTGTTCCAACATTTGTTCCTCACTCCAAGCCATTAACTTCAGCTATTGCATTCAAGTTACTGCGTACCTTGTAATTCATCTTGGCAAGCACTGGTCCCACATTGCAGAAGTTTGGCCCGTTGGCCACCTGACTTCATGAGTTAGATGAAGAGCATTGGTACGAAGCCACCTTCACCTCACTTCCTTCAAATTTTTTATTGCATCCTTCAGTGAAAAATTATGTTTCAATCTGTGTGGAAAAGTTGAGGTTCAATGTATTTTAAATAGCAGTTAATAAAAGCAATCTTACCTGAAAATCTATTTCAGTTTTATAAAGCTTTCAATCATAGCTCATGATCTTCATTAACAGATGGAAACCAGTGGTCATGGAATTGTAGATGTTTATGAAGATGGATGAACTTTGACACTCAACATTTAAAATTTAAGACGCAAAGTCCTTAAAGTGCTCTACAAAAATATATATAATATATAAAAATATAAAATCAGCACCCTTGCATGAACATCATATTTACACAATATTTATGTTGTTATCAACTGTTTTGAAAAATGTTTGTTTAATCAGCAAACAACTTTCCTTGCCCCTTCTGCAATACCCATAGGCATCAACATACCCAAGTGAACCACACCACGTGAAAACCTCTTCCCAGTGCTCTTTTCACAGTAGGTTCTGTATGTCTGTGCTCTGTGGGTAATAAAAGTGTCAGTCTGACCCATCTATTGAACAGACCAGAGGAGCACGCCTAGTTTTATGTCAGATGACCAGTTTTTAGCCTTGGTAGCTGCATGGCTCTAGTGATGACCATGTTGGTTTGTCAATCTTGGTCCAGACTGTAAAATATCTAAAACAACTACTGAATGGACTGATATGAAATTTGGTGCAGTGATACCATGAGGTTCACATTTGTGGTTTTGAGTAAAATGTCTTGACAAGTATTGGTTGCCATGAGATTTTGTTTCTGACACTCATGTCCCCCTAATGGCCAGGACACACTGCCTGTGTTGCATGATGTTACCTGCTGTGGCTGATCCCTTAACTTTTCATCTAGTGTCATCATCAGGTCAAATTTTTTAAATTTGTTCAGCAGGTTAAAGACTAAATACTTGGTAGATTAGATTAGCTTTGGCTTTATGTAGTAACTGGCAAATATTAGCAATGCTAACATGCTAAACAATGATGGTGAAGATGGTAAAAGTTATACCTCCTTAACATTAGCATCCATGTTAGCATTGTCCAAAATAATTCTCTCATTCACTCTCTCACTACTCCCTATATAACAGACACTCGATAGCTTACTCTATACTGAGCAGTGACCAACTGAAATGTCAGACACATACTAATCATTGTTACTTTGCATCGACAGTTAATTTTCACATCTAAAGAATGTGGCATGTTACATTGTGGGACAGTAGCAGTGTCTATGCCATGGACACTACTGCACTAGTGGATACATTTACATACTTAGAATTCAGATGTTATTTTGGACACAATGTGAGCATGTTAGTATGCTACTGTTAGCATATAGTACAGAGAGATGCTGTGCCAAAGTACAGCCAAACTCTTAAATGTATTAGTTAGCAGCGCACAAATAGACTTAAAAATTATAATACCCAGATATCTTGTTCACAAAAGCTTGGTTTTGGTAGTTAAAGCATAAAACATAGTCAAATTTAAATATAAGTGGCAGAATTTCCTTTAACACACAACTCATGTCATTTCTCTTTGAGGTACAGGAATGCTCCATCACTTTTCTTAATGATCATAATTGTGCTAATAATCTGCGCACTGTTTGTGTGAGTGTAAAGCACCACAGGAATGGTAATTGTCTCTTTATAGTCTTGTTTTTCAGACTAAATATGTGGTCCTGCCTTGTGTCATTCCTTTGGATACATGAAAATTGCAGCTAATTTCTTTACTCTTGACAGCCCCCAGCTGTTCACCACAGCAAACTCAAGTCTAAACTGTAAACTGTATATAAAAAGGTCTAAATCCAATCACCAAACCACAGAGATCTGTGTGAAAACCCTTGAAACACCCATGTTACTGAGCATCCCCGTCGCTGCAGTTACATGTAGCTATCCTTTAATCCCCCCTTTTAGTATTAGCTAGTTAGCCAGCTGGCTACAGTATTATTGTGTATAGTCAGGGGATATGCAGAAACTCACTTCAGTTTCTCATGTCCACAAGGCAGAACTGGCAAACTGGGGAAGTGACCCCCAGCTCAGTAGGTTTTTATACAGGACAGACTCCATAAACTTCTCACAGTCAATCAGTCAACATGTCTCCCTTTCCAGGTCTTGACAATATTTTCACATTCCATTCTGCTGAATCATTGTGGTCCTTTCTCAAGCTTACGCTGTTTATCTGCGGTCTTGCAGCAACAATTTCCTTTATTTACAAAATGCAAATCCTATTTACTGAATGATATCCACTTCTCTTAGAGTGGGAGTTCACAGATAATCTGAATAAATGGCACAATACTGGAAATTTCATACCAGGACAACACCCTCTTCTCTTCTACTTAGAACTTTATTGGCAAGTTTAAAGATTAAAGCGTCATTATAAAAAGTTTTTTGTTTCACAGTGTTGTATAGAAAGACATTGAAAATACAAAAAGAGCAAAATACTGTAACTTTTCCAAACATCTCATACAAAATGTTCTGCAGCTCAGTCACTGTTGTTCCACAGGATACAACATCATAGCATGTGAGTAACCACGTGGGACTTGTGCTCATCTGTTTGTTCAGTTTCTGCACCCAAAACATATGGGTTCACTCCCTCTGTGAGTGGGTGGGTGGGTGTGTGTGTGTGAGAGAGTGTGTGTCAGTGTGTGTGTGTGTGTGTGTGTGTGTGTGTGTGTGTGACTCATCATAACTGTTCAGAGGAGGAAGAAACTTTGAGGAGTGACTATTGCCTCACTCCACCTCGACAGGCTGGATGAGTTTTTCCGAGAAGATCCCAGAGTGCTTTTCTAGATCCATGTGCTGGTTCCAGCTCTCCTCCCTGATCCCCTTCACCAGGCCGTCCTGCTGCAAGAGACATTAAACACGTGTCAGACCTTAAGGAAGTAAACCAACCCTCTGATTGGACACTTACAATAACTTAAACTTAAAACAAAGTGTCTTATCTTACCATTTCAAAATATTCACTCAAAAAGAAAAAGAAAGTAAAAGTGCTATGCTGGGATGAAAAGTATGTCAGCAGGATGCACAAAAAGAGAAAACAAGAAATCCCCAGAGTGTACTGACCTAAACAACATATCCAGGTTCAGAGAAAGGTCCACAGACAAACGGAGGGAGCGGACTTGTGAAATAAAATATTAATTAAAACATAGTGTGTAAATGGACTGAATGACTGAATTACATAAGACTGAATTGAATTAGAAAATGAAATCTAATTGTAAATAAATAAAAAATTTAATAAAGTTATATGTGAATTTAATTCAAATGTTAAACTAAATTTAGTTCAATTGCAAATTAGAAAATCAATTAGAATTATACTAGATCAAATCACACTTTGAATTAAATAAAAAATAAAAACTTAGAATGAAATGATATTTAAAAAGTGTAAAATTAACTTCAAAATTAAATGAACCTAACATTAAAAACATTAATCACATTTATTTAAATTAGGATAGCTTTAATTAAATATTTTAGATATTTTATAAATTTCATTATGAACTTCATATGAAAAAGAAAAATATTGACTTGTTCTTTGACTTAAGTCACCCTTTAATGAGGTAGTTCTACATTTAGCACACAATGTACAGACAATGGCCAAGAAACCGGCTTTATTTATCTATTTATTTATTTATTTGGTGACTATTTAATGTTCACTTAATGAATTAACACTGACACAATAGGGGACGTTACCTGCAGCATTTGACTGGTTGTGAGCAGGTCTCAGTGACTCACAGATCCTCTCTACTGCCTCTAACTTCTAACAACTTAGGTGGTGCTGGTTTTGGTGCAAATGATTTGTGAAATACTATTAGACCAAAAACAGAACTTGACAGGAGTCTTGAAGTTACGGAAACGGAAGCTACTTTCAGCCTTAGGATGTTTTGTGAATGGAGCCCCTGTTGTTTAGAAAGAATATTTTAATTTGAAACATTTTCTGCTTCAGATCCATTTCATCTACAGTGGAAATTTTCCACTGTGACATCAGCTGAACTAGTTGCCCACAGGAAAAAAAATATCACTCAACAAGAAAAAGAAATGAAGCTGTGATGAAAAGTATGTTACCAGCAGGATGCTCAAAAAAAAAAAAAAAAAAAATCACCACAATGTACTGGACTAAACAACATATCCAGGTTCAGGTTCAGAGAAAGCTCCACGGGCAGAAGGAGGGAACGGGCTTCACAGGAAATCTGGCTCTTTCTATCTTTTCTATCTCTGAAGAACCACAGGAAGTGAGATATGCTTTAGAAGAACACACACAAACCTCTCGAGTGTCAGCAAGCACCAGGATGACATCTCCCTGTTCAAACTGCAGCAGGCCGTCTTCAGACGCTGCATGACTCTCCAGTGCCACCCCCTGGTGTAAAAACATGGGATACACCAATGCAAACTTAATACTGAAAATGGCAATTTACACGGATGTAGTTTCACTTTTAAATGTCAGTTCACCCAAATTATTAAATTAAAAAATAAAAAAAATCTAGGTTTGGAGATTTTCATCCAACCAAATAAAATGAAGGTTAAATGGAATTAGTTTGTCTTGCTCACAGATTTGACCAATAACATTCAAGAAATTCAACAGCAACTGGTCTATACACTTCCGATAAAGTCTTTTCACAGCAAAGTCTTTTAAATGTTTTTTTTTAAATGCCATAAGCAACCACAAGAGAAAATTCCATCCACCTCCTCTGTGTTGGAGCAGAGGCACAAATCTAAAAACCCTGACAAATCAAACAGACGTTATCTACATGGCTCGATACCACTGGAGCTAGGAAATGGATGGGGATAGGAAATGAGTTTCTTTTTAATAATCCGGTGAACCAAAACTTGAACTCAAAGTTCAATGTCCTGGTTCAAACATACCACACCACTGTGTGCAAAAAAAGAGACAGATATTTTGGCCACGTAGAGGAAGTGGAAACACAACACTGACATATCATCTTTTCAGTTCATAAGATTATTTACACTAATGTGTGGCCTCTTTAGCTGCTAAATGCTCCACTATGTTTATAGCTGGTCTGTAGCTGTGTCTGTCTGCTGGTAGTGTACAGCGGGTTGCTGGAGCTTTTTCTTTGAAAACTACCCTGGCCCTAAGGGCTCAGCACTCTGCAACCTAACAACACACATGCACATTCAGAAAACATCATCATCAGTTTGACAACACGACTGACTTGTTTCCAGCGGACACACAAAAAAAAAAAAAAAAAAGTGAACAGGGGGCATCCCGGTGGCTCACCTGGCAGAGTGCATACCATGAAGGTCCTAACTGCAGCGGCCCGGGTTCAAGTCCAACCACTGGCCCTTTGCGACAGGTCACCCCCCCCCCCCCCCCCCTGACTTCCGTGTCTCTCCCTCTCACTTATGCCATTAGAATAAAAGGGAAAAAAATGAACAAAAATAACTGTTTTTTTTTTGTTTTTTTTTTAAAGTAATGAACCTGGCTGGGACGCACTTGTTTTTAACTTCAAAAGTCACAAAGCATTGAACAACAAGTGCGTCCCAGCCAGGTTCATCACTTTTTAGTGTCCCCTGGAATTACTGCCATTGTGTTGTGAGCATTTTGCAGCACGTGTGTTGTGAAACTGATGAAGACGTTTTCTGAATCTAATTGCGTTTTGGCTGTTTGCATGTCTTTTAAGTTGCAGTGCTTGAGCTCTCAGGGCCACCGTAGAAAACAGCCGCCTGCTATTAGAGCAGTGAAAATTATAGCTGTGGCCCAGACAATGAAACAATGAGCTGAAACTTACTACAAAGCTCCATAAAGCCGAGGACAGCTGCAGATTCAGCTGATAACTGTCCGTAGGTTCATCACGAACTGTTTCACATTATCATTTGACACACTGTTATTATAAAAAATATTGATTATAGCCACTTTAAAAACATAGTTGGGTACCTTGTATAGGAAGCCAGGTGGACTGTGGGAACTGGAGTCATCTCCTGTCTCCTGGTTGACTGGTGCTTCTTTTGTCTCCTCCTGCTCCTCAGCAGGGAGGAGGGGGCATGCGTCTGTGGAGTGGAAGGACAGGCGAGGAGCAGGAACTGGTGCAGGTTTGGGCTCGACCTCCTCTGATGTAGGATCACTCACAGCCTCCTGCTCCGGACTGTGTGGGGCATCGCTCTCTGCAGAGTCAGAGGGATTGGACACTTCCTGACTTGCTGCTTCTGACTTTGCAACTCCCACCCCGGAGTCATCCGACTGTTTTGTAGCAAGTGCTGCTTCAGCTTCAACTTCAGCTTCAGCTTCAGCTGCAGCATCAGCATCAGCATCAGCATCAGCATCAGCTTCAGCATCAACTTCAGCATCAACTTCAGCCGCCGCTGGCTCCTCCTCTGCGTCCTCTGGACTTTGACCCCCTGTGCTCCTGTCGCTGTTCTCATTGTCACACACCGACTGCCTCTTGGGCGTGTTGATGCCGCTGGAGCTGAGATCCGAGTCTGACGAGTTGACATCTTTGGATGAGACGCTGCTCTCCTCTGGTGGGTTGGTTTCTTCAGAGATGCTTTGAGTTCGCTGGACAGGGGAAGAAGGTGCAGCGTCTTTACCGTTTTGGGTGGAGGCGTGGATGGAGACATGGTCAGCTGGGAACGCAGTATTGCAGGGGATGGGGTTGGAGATAACCAGCGACTTCCTCTTCTTTGATTTGGTTGACGTGCTACTTTAAGAAAAAGTGCATGTTATTTTTACTGAAGGAAAATGGCAGACAGGCATCATTAGGTATGTATGTTGGGAACACTGTAACCACAGATGAGGAAACACAATTCCTTACCTGTTCAGACCCTTGATGATGAAAGCTTTCCCAGAGTGTTGAGTCTCCAGTTTCTTCATCACATTGTAGAGCTCCCGGTTAAGCTGCAAAACAAAGCGCGACATAAACAAACAATTCAAATTGCGACACAAATACCTCATTAAATCTTATGTAAAACTGTAGTCATAGTAACAGTTGTCATGGCTGTCTTTAAACCATCAAACACTTCAAATTACTCGTGTGAGAGTGATGAAAAAAATGGATTTGTGTCAATCTCTTACCACACTCATTTCCTTGTAGAAGACGTCTCTCAGGTTTGATACGTTTTGGAACACGGTCACGTAGCAACCTATACGGCTACAGAGACAGAGACAACAGCTCAGTTTATCTACGTGGCGTTCTTCAGGAAGTTACTTGTCAAGTTCAACATTTCAAGAGCAGCCACATCGTAGATAAGAGTCCTGCCAGTGGGAAACACTATGATGCACATTTACACATCAGATCTGAAGAACATAATCATGTTTTGTTCTATAGCCACGACAATACTGGATAGTTGAGGTCAACAACAATTTATCAGCCAATAATAAACAAAGATAAACCCGTAACAAATTACAATCTTCATATGGATCCTTTAGATTTGTTATGTAAGGCCCTGTTCAGAGCCGGCATTCACATCCGTATCAGATGATTCAATCACAAGTGGTAAGCTCTGAGTTCAGGTGTGAACACACCCAAGATGCATGGAGGATGCATTTGAGATCCGATCACTCAGACCACATTCAGAGCTGATCTGCACCACATGTGGCCACATTCTTTCAGCGGTGTGTTTAACTTTTCAGAAGGGTAAAAACTTTCATTTCATTATAGAGCTGTGTAATGATTCATTCAATTCCTCCTTGCCACACACACACACACACTTTGTTGGACTGGCTAGAAACAACAATACATACGTTTTTATTTGCACATGGAGCGGGGAAGTGGAATCCAATCACAAGTGGTCACTAGAAACACACGTGAAGTTTTAATACCAGGTGTGACCTGACGTGCTTAGAGCTGTGCACTTGTCAGTGAATCACTCGCGCTGCATGTCAGCACGCTCCTGTCTGAACAGGACCTAAAAGAACTGTGACTAAGAAACACACTGAGTGGGACTTTTAACAGTGAACAATGAAACTTGTGAGTGCTCTCTGGTGGACAAGCTATATAATAAAGACACTGTTTAGAATTATAAATATATAATGGCATTTCTGCACTGCAATGTCTTGTCACTTATAGGCTGACACATACACAGGTAGAGATAGACTGTATCTGCAATAAGCTCAGATTGGCCAATTTATCTGTCGTGTTCTATTTTGCATTCAATTCCCATATTATTCTTGCAGTTTGAGTTGGTTTTTGATTAAAATCACACCTAGGATCCTTCTGATCCAGATATACAGCAAAGATGAGAACATCCAGGTCTGCAGTCTTTTCAGACAGACTTCTGTCTTTCAATACCAATGACACTGAGAAAAGTGACAGGAAGCAGGTTCACAGGTCTTTGTTGCATGTCATGCCCACATCTCTTTCTCTCTTCATTTTATCGAACACAGGCTTTAACGCCACCCACAAGAATAAAAATAAAAAGGGAAAAGGTGTGAAAACCTATGTTTTGCCATAAATTAAACATGAAATGTTACAGTAAATAATGTGTCTGTGTGATTTCAGATTTACTCTCATTTGATAACTGACACCTGAAGCAAAATATTTGAAAAAGCTGAAACTCTGACATTTTTTATAATACCACTTTAATTGCTTATTTGCTCATCTCCACACACATTAAGTTCAAGACACCTGCACATGAGCTTTTAACCTGTTTATTCCTACAAAGATGTTCTCCCTTTACTCATCTTGTCATGTCATGATCCGACATTGCAAACGTACCTCTGATAGAGAACAGGCAGCTCCTCTCTCAGCTCTTTATTTATTTCTTCAAAGACATTCTGGGCTTTGTTAAACTCCTCTTCTGCCTGTCAGAGGATTTGAAAGTCGTTAAAAAAAAAACAAAAAATATAAGTATTTATCAGCCAACACTGTGGATTTCTGTGCTGTGTGTAATGTAATATATACGCTACCTTTGCGATTTTGGCGTCGTCCTTTTTCTTGGCACTGTGCAGCGCCTCCAGGTGGTGACGTGCCGAGTCGTAGTCCACCAGCTTGCGACCGCGTTTAGCGACTCGTTCCTGAAAAACAGATATCGGTTTTCTACTAAGTGAGCGTGACGACCTCTGCCGGTGTCAAAGATCAGAGAGATTTCGTGTGCAGTAACTGCCTCGGGTTTAAAAGCCTCATGTTACCTTGACCTCAGGGAACTGGCTCGTGTAGTTCTCCATTGTTCGGACAATCTGGTCACTCATTTTCTCTTCATAGTCGTTCCACAGCAAGTCTTCACTCTGAGAGACACAGTCGGTGTTACATCAGTGCCACTGTCCCGAGTCCTTTTAACTGCTACACAGCTTTAACCAGGGCGCTAACACTGTTCCAGCAAAGGACTGTTCCACAAACTAACGATATGTAGTAACCAACCTCAGCAGATGGATTATGATCCTCCTGAGTCACTACATCTATTAACTTTACTGTAGTGGAGGAAACACTGTCCATAATAGAAGAGCCAAATATAAATATTTCATAATATTTACCATTGGCCTCATTTTGATTTAACATAAAATTGTCTCTTCTATTCTGTATTTTACTTATCGTCACAGAAACTTGATTAGCAGCTAAATTATGCTCAAGTATTATCAAAGAGTGATGGAAAAGTTAGAACAAATACAATGCGCTGTTTAATATGTTTAATATATGATGTTTAACAAAACAAATTCAATATCTAATACATTTCTGACATATTCAAATTTGAATTGAAACTGTTTACTAGTATGTGGAACAACATTCCTGTCAGGAGGCTCCTCTCACTTTCCTCTCTGTCTCCATCTTGTTTTCATTCTAAATACAGAAACAAGATCCTGCAACAACATGTTTTTTGTTTTTTTTTTTTCTATTTGGCTCTTTCAGAACAACAACCATCACTGCAGCACTCCACTGATCCACTGATCCAGGCCTCATGGCTCTGCGGCCTCTCCACAGCAACTGACACATGAAAGCTGCTTGGAGTTTTCTCTGGTCTGATGAAACCAAGAATTAACCGTTTGGTCTCAATTCTAAATATCAAGTCTGTAGGAAACAAGGCATGATCTTCAGACTTGGTTGTCTGTCTGGAAGTTTCTCCCATCACCACACAGGATCTCTGGAGCTCAGCCAGTGTGACCATCAGGTTCTTAGTCAGCTCTTTTACCAAGGCCCTTCACTGACTGCTCAGTTTGGGGTGTGCGCTCAGCTCTAGGAAGAGTCCTGGTTGTTCCAAACATCTTCCATTTGGGAATGATGGAGCCCACTGTGCTCTTGAGGAAGCTTCAGAGCAGCAGAAATGTTTTCTTGTGTCCTTCCCCACACAATCCTGTCTCTGAGCTCCGCAGCAGCTCCTTACTCCTCCTCGGTTTTTGCTCTGATATATTATCAGCTGCGAGACCTTAGACGGGTGTGTGTCTTTCCAAATCATGTCCAATCCGCTGACTTTACCACAGGTGGACTCCAATCAAGACATAGAAAGATCTCAAAGATGATCAAGAGAAATGGGAGGAATCTATCTATCAAGAGTCATAGCAAAGGGTCTGAATACTTGTGTCAATGTGAGATTTCAGTTTTTCAATTTCTGGGGAGAGGGCCGTCTGGACCTCTCTGCTGAGGCTGCTGCCCCCGCAACCCGGATCCGGAGAAGCGGGAGACGACGAGACGAGACTGTTTTTACTTTGTCGTTATGGGGAAAGGAGTGCAGACCGATTTTTTTTAATTTTAGCATAAGGCTCCAACATAACAGCAGGTGAAAAAACTGAAAGCTTCAGAATAATTTCCAAATACATGTTTCCATGTTAATTTAGATGAAACTTGTTCCTGCTGAAATCAAGTGATTTCTATCAGATTATCTGGCTCTAAGATTACTGTTACACCGCATATTCACACATCATGAACTTACCTCTGTAATGACGGCAAGGTCCTCCACCCCGTTCCAGTCCGATTCGTAGATGTCTCGCAACGTCTGGGACAGCCGCTTGGACGTCTCGTGCACAGCTGTGGGGAAAAGCGCAGGAAACTGTAGCAGCTAAAATAAAATGTTATAATGTCATCATGACTCCACATGGATCAGCTTATCATTGGCATCAGCAGCACACAGAGCATTGTGGTGGTATTGTTTTAAAGGGGTTTGTGGGACCGTTACACCCAAGAAGGTCACAACAACACTGGTTTCCTGAGTGCAGCTCACAATGCAGGAGCAGGAGCTGACACAACACCAGGAACTCAACGGTTCCTTGCACACGGATCACATATGCTCTGCTGCGTCTGCTGTTTTTCCAATGCAGGATTTTATTTGTTTTTGTGCAACATGGCAACGCAGACAGAATTGCAAAAGTCGAGACACAAGAGCTATGAATAGAAGAAATTCACTTCCCTATTATTAACTTACTCTCCTGAGCAGAGAGTGGTGCTCTGTTAGCGCTGTCATGTGTGTCTGTGGATGCTGCAAAAACCCACCTTTCACTGCCGTGTAGTAAGCTTTGACATCTTTAAACAACCTGCCTCCATCCATCTGTGTGCAGAAGCAAAAGAAGAAGATTAAAGTTAAATTCAGCAACACCCCAAGTAAGAGTTTCACTATGGATCTCTGCCACTCGTTTCCTTAAAAACCTAAAGAAATGAAATCCGTGTGTTTCTGTTTTAACTGCAGACCACTTTCGTTTGCAGTCTAACTTTTTGTGTCGAGCTGCATATAATCAGAGTACAATACAACCCGACCACAACATGGAGTTTAAATTAAATTACAATAAAAAAACTTTTTTTTTGTGGTAGTATGTAGTGGTGAAGTGAAAGCAGCATTGTGTAAGACTTCCTTCCTGTTGCTCCTCATCGGTTTCTCTCCAAATATGTGCCCTATGGTTGTTGCCTTAGACACTGAATGAGCCTTGACCAACTTTAAAGTGAACCTGTAACGTTTGCCTCACAGCGTATTGTGGCCACAAGTGAGGAATACTGAAACAACAGTAGAAGAAGTAGAAAAGAGCCATAAAGATTTGGTCATTTCTATCATACAGCAATATTAATCTAAAGTTTGCTAATATTAGCATGAAGGCTAATGGTCATACCAGACCAAGTAAGGCTGTAACAGCCAAACCTCTGAGTGTATTACACTGAGTAAGGGTGCATTTTACTGCTTTTAAATTCAACTTTTAATTCGTAAAGAAAAACATTGTGAGTTTTCCTCTGTCAGAAGTTCCATAGTGTTGCTTCAAATCCTTTCAAAGACCAAAAATGGGTCAAATCATAAGTTCATAAGGATGTGAATAGTAATGTTAGTGATATCAGATATCTAGAGGAGAGATCAATGAGAGAATCAGTGAGAAAATAAGAGACTTTCAGCTTGTTTGAAGTGTTTCCTGTTTTCGAGGGTAAGCTGACTGAACTTGTGGGTTGGCATCTCAATGCAAAAACAAAAAACAAAAAAAAAAAACTCTCTTAGAGTTAGCAGTAATCAATTTAACTGGAAATGAGCTGTTTAACATTAAAAGCAGACTGAACATGACTTTTATTTTGGCCTCGGAGTGAATGGCGAAGGACTACCATGTGAAGTACCTGTTGTTTGTTGAGGTTCTGGAAGCAAAGCTCAAACTGCTCGTCCTTGGTCTCCATGGTTTTGCCCAGTTTCTGAAGGACCTGAGAAAGGACAGCACGGTGAGAAAGTTTCAACATTAGACAGACGAGGGGTTTCTAGCATCAGTGATCACTGGAGCGAGGGCAACAGGCTGGCCCGGATGATTTATTTATCAGTCCAGATATATGGCTGATATCTCACTGTTAATCATGACAGAGTAATGCATCATAAACCACATACTGCTATGGCTCACCTACATGTGGCTAATGATTACAGGGCGCTTCACAGTCCACTGCATGCAGGTGTTTGAAAGACTGAATGACACATTTCGTGACCTTTAGCTTTAAATCTGCTACCAAGCAGCTCTCATTATGTCTATCCTCCCAAATTTCTGAGATCTTAAAAAAAAAAAAAAAAAAAAACCCTGAATCCCTAAAATAGGCTTCGATCTTGGAACTTCAGGGTAACTCCAGCCAGACGTTGCAGTTTCTGTTTTTAGGTGGAGCAGCGAAATCAAACATGTCAACCGCAAACTGAGTGAGAAAGGCTCAACAAGCGAGAGGAAGTGCACAGTCAGGAAGTGGCAGCTTTTGTGTCCACACACAGCTGCACAGCTCTTAACAACACCGTGGTGCTCTGACAGGGGACAGTCCAGCTACTGTTTTATTAATGCATCAGGCCAAGAGTCTGGTGATCCTTCAAATATGTAGTTTATAACGCACAGAGGGCAAGGCCTGGAGCGTGTGGTTTCTCTTTCCCCTCATGGTCACTCTCACTGGTTCTTATCCAGTTAGACTTGGCATGATTTGATCCTCTCGCCCTGGAGCAATTCATTTTGAGTCATGGCTGTACAGACCGAGATAACGGTACCTCAGATTGGGAAGGTACCAACAGTGACACAACAACATGTTTATGAGCAAAACAGCCACTCTTATTTTCCAACTTCTTCTAAGATAAATAATTAAACTATTTTTAACTCTGAAACTCTTTGGATCCTTCTTGTCCCAGTTTGGGAGTATTTGTAGTGCACTACCAACTACACCCCCTTCTAAACAAACTGTGTATTCATGCTAAGAAAAAGTCTGGTTAATGTTACAGTTATTAAATTTATGGCTCCACAAAACAAACCTGGTTGTTTAAAACAAGCTCGAATCAGACTGTCTCGTGTCTTACCAAACTGATGACAGTGCATGTAGTTTACAATCTTTTTTTTTTTACAAAGTTGTTTTCCCTGGCTCACCTTCTCCTGAGCTCGATTCAGGGACTTCTGGACCCGCTTGGCGAGGAATCCGGCTCCAGCCTGTAGGTTTGGGCCCATCTTGTTGTCAGCCATCGTCACTCTTCGCTGTGCTTCTCCTCTCTCTGACTGTAGCCCACCTCCCGTCTGCTTCCTCTTGAGAAACTGCCTCACTGCGACTCAACTGCGACTTCAGCTCAGGGCGAAGGAGGTGGAGCAAATGTCAAGACACGAACACACACACACACACAGGCTTTGATCAACCCAGCTGAGACCGAGGTCCTTCACGTCATCATGAGCAGGAGTCTGCTCTTGTTCAGACTTGTTGAAGGGGTTACTGAGAAGCGTTTGTGCGTGTCCCGGTCTGTAGAGCAGACGTGAGCCGCGCTGTGGTGGAGCTGCACCCCGCTCCCTCCGCTCTGCCACCCGGTAGAGCTGGAAGTCGTCCAACGGCACTCACCTGTAAACTATGAGCGAAGATTGCGTTTCTCTGATGATGCGTACCTGAATTCAGCAACGTGACGTAAGCAGGGGAGACGCGTGTTAGCGGTAGTGGCCGAGATGCTGCTTTCACGTGTGCCTCAAAAACTCAGTTTATTTGAGTTGTTAAATGACATATACAGGTTTGTATGTCAGCCATAGGCTCTCAACTGTTGTCAGCTTAGTGTCGAATATATGCATCACTTCATTTAAATCAGTATCTTATCTGACATTAACTTCTCTACCCTCTCTGATCAGCCAATTTCTTCACTCTGATAGTGATATCATTGAGCTGAGCTGACCTGTTTGCTGAGTTTTTCTCTGTTGACACATCTGCTTCTCATAACACTGACATGACTAACAGTTCCACCCCAATGTGTGACTTCACTAAGAAACAAGACGCTCTTTATTACGCTTCATTTGACTGAAATGAATACAGCAGACATGAAAGCTCCACTGACTGAACGTGAGTCCACGGCCCCCAGCCTCCTGATACAGTTCAATGATTACCACGACTAAGAGACATTTCTACATGTAAATGTGACTTTTGTGTAGATGACATTGATATGAAAAAACAAACCTTACTAAAACATACTATTGTAACAAAAATGTAGGCCTTTATGGACTCATCCATACTGATGTCAATAGGATTAACCAGAGCCATAGTCCTCACACACACACACACACACACACACACACACACACACATATTATGACTCCCAACAAGTTTGTGATTTCCTCTGACACAGTTGAGGTCAACTGTACTATCTGCCAGCCACAATAATGTGGACGAACTATCACGTGTTGCTGAAATGTTGGAGTGTTTCTGACTCCGTCCCTCTTTTTCTTTCTCCTAGAACTTGGTTCATAGCTTTTTCCCCATCCCCCTGAAAAATATGTCCTTTCAATCATATTGTTCTTTTTCAGCTTCAGCCTTTGGATAGAGAAATCTAAATAAACAGTTAGCAGAGGAAAAATTGTACATCATTTTAACTGAATGTATTGTTGTAGTTATGCCTGTCTGACAGCTGACAGGTTGCCATTTGTCACACCTGTACTGTTCTAGTGGTAAAGTGTGGAAATACAGCACAGCCTGCAGTACTTGTAATTCTTATCATACAATACTTATAATAATCATTCTTTGTTTTACTTGTATTTGGTAGCTAATAATGTTTTTTTTTTAACTGTTTAAATCTTTGAAAACTGGAATGAACTCCATGAGATGCTTTTTCGCAGCCACCACTGCTGCTCCTGCCGACTGTGTTTTTGAACTGGCCAAATCAGCAGGAGAAAATATAACAACTAATTTCCTGTTGAATTTTGGGACGCCTGTCACTTTGACCTCCACAGTGTGCTCACCTCCTTCCCTGAAGTCAGCATCTCACAAGCTTACTCTGAAATTACTGAAGCCCACTGATGTTTCTCAGATTCTAGGCAATTATTTTGAAAAAGTGATGAGTTTGATCGACTATTGCATAATGTTGCATGAACAGATTAAACTGTTAAGTGGCCCTGTGACAACATTTGTTGTAAGAGCCCCTATTCACCTCTTCAACCCTCAACTATTGCCCTTGGTGCATTGTGTATGCATCTTTCCACCTCCAAGTTCCTGTTCTCTAAACACACTACATATGGCAGCTTGGTTATAAGAACATTACCTTTCCCCGGGTGTCAGTTCAAGTAATAATGTAGAACTTGTCTTGGTTGATATTGTACTTTTACCAACAAGTTTATTCCTGTATAAATTTTCCCTCATGTATTCATTACTTTGCTTTCACATTTACTTATTTATACAAATACTTATCTGGTATCACCTTTGGGCCCTAATAATAATGTACTGTGTGTAACCTAAGCCTATTTACGAACTCCTTGAGTTTGTGCCGAGGTCAGCTAGTCCACATTATCTGCCTGATAACTCTGATTTAAGAAGTACTTCAGCGATTAAAATACAGTCAAAGATATTTTTTTGGGCAAACTGGGTGTGTGGAAGGAAACCGGAGAACCCGGGGAAAACCCACGCTGACACAGACAGAAACTCCACAGAGTGTCAGGTCGCTGGAGGTTCAGTGTGTGTGGCCCTGTACAGTGCATCCAGAAAGTCTTCACACACTCACTTCTTTCACACTTAGTCATGTTGCAAGATTCTCAGTTGTCCAGGTCATTAATGTGGAGATGAGTCCATGGATGGGGCAATATGCCCTTGACTCAACTATTCTTGGATAAAAATGACTTGGATGACTGAGAATCTTTAATAATTTTGCCAGAATTTTAGGAAAATTTCAGGAAAGAAAATGAATCAAAGATTTTAGCACATGGTTGCAACATGACAAAATGTTAAAACCTCTTCTCCTGCAGCTGCCTGAGTGCTGCTTTGGGGGATGAGAAGAATTAGAATGATGGAGGCGACCAAACCTGTAATGAAAACTGTAACCTGGAGCAAGTCTTTCCATACGCTCTGGGAGGCAGTCTTTGAAGAGAACGTTTTGATGTGGGTTTGCAAAGACTGAACAATGACAGTGTCCAAAGCTGGATCCTGTAATGAGACCACAGACTCCAGCAGGCGCCTGCCACAGAACTTCTTCTGCAGGTCTTTCATCACTGTCTTGCAGACTTTCTTGATATATTTCACGTCCGGAAAGAGGCCTTCAGTGACAGTGAGGTCCCGTATCGCCTGGTTCACCTGACGTTTGGTGTGGCCGATCCACTCCTCTCGGCTGCTGTTCTGGACAGCCTGACACTTGCTCAAAACTTTCAGTGTCAAGAGGGTCACAATCAGCCTCAGCTGGTTCTAACTTTCCGCCTTGGTTGTAGACCTGCAGCCAGAGTCAGTGGGATCAGCAGACTTGGGTGTTGGAGGTCGTTCCATCGTGACCTCAGAGTTGTTTTCCTTCTCAAGGATTGTTACTGGTGTGTCTTCTTCTGATAGAGTGCTTGTTTGTGCTTCTTCCATTTCCTTGGACAGGTTACTCACACACACACACGAAGACACACACAAAGACACACACATACAATCAGTGGGAGCGACGACCTTGAGACCTGTTGATGTTGTTTGCGGTGGCCGTGCGGCGAATACATAAAAGGCCATGTGGGACCAAAGTAAAAGTAATTCTTCTACTCATTCTTCAGTACAGTGTCCTCTGTGACTGATTATATGACATTAGATTGTTAATCCTGCTATATCAGCGTGTAAGCATTGTCGTAGCTGGTTGAGTTGGAGTGAGTTAGTTAGTTAACTATTTAAACTACCAAATATACAGCTATACTTTAGTCCAGTGGGTCCCCAACCTAGGATTCAGCCCCTTCCAAAGGGTTATAAGATGAATCTGAGGGGTTAAGTGATGATTACAGTTTTTTGCTTGCAATTGCTTACACACTAAAAGTGAATGCTAAGACCAAAGCATTAAAACCTTAACTTTTGAAACCATGCCTTAAACAAAGGAACCAAAAGTACAAACACATCTTCTACTTTTCACTTTGTTTTCATTTCTACACCACACACTTTTTCTTACATTAGACACTTCAACACTTAAATCTTACAATCATTGGGAAAACACTTATTTTTCAAACTGCAAAACACACCTGAATTTTGCACCACACACATACACACCTAAAAACACTCATACAGAAATTGAACACCACTCAGTCTGAGCCTTAGTGCTACAGATAGACCTCAGGGGATATTCTGTGAGAACTTTACAAACATGGAAGCAATGAAAGTGAGAGAAAGAGGAAGAGGAAGAGGAAGAGGAAGAGGAAGAGGAAGACAGAGAGGAGGTGGAGGGTGAAGGCCAGGCCAAATAAGACCAGGCAATAGACAGACACATATTTCAGATGACATCAGGGCCACTTTGGTGGACTATATCATACAGTTTTTTACGATTGCTTACACACAAAAACAATACACAGATTTTGATACACAAAGAGCAAAATGTCAGCCCACAACTATACGCACACATTTTGCAAAACACTACACACAGTGTTTTGCAAAACACCAAACGCACTTCTCTACATTAGACACATCATTCAAAACTGAAAGCCTTTGCGTGTTAATTGGCAAACACTGCCACTGAAACACCACGCTCAGTTAGCAATCACCTGAACTCAGAATGTACATGTGAAGACACCTGTAACCAATCAGATCACACAGAAATCACAGCTTGATCACCATAAAAACAAGTCGGGTTTGGAAGAGGTGTTCCAGTAAGGGGAGGAAGAGCAAGAGGAGAAAGAGGCAGATCAGAAAAGAAGAAGAAGAGAAGGAGAAAGAGGAGCAAGAGGACACAGAGTGGAGAGAGGACAGGTGCAGGAAATAGAACAATTCTTGCAGATGAGATCAGAAACAGGACAGACAATAACTGCAATACTGTATAGGTCTATACTGTATTTTACAGTACAGTCGGTTCATATCATCTTCAGTTCACTATTGAGAATGAAGAGACTTTGTTTCCCCAAAGCATTTGTGTTCATACTTACAGCAGGCTACAACAACTGAGAAATGTCAGAAACATACAGTAATAGTGTTTTTATACTTAGCATATATATAAGTAGAAATGTGAAAACTGTTTTAGATTTAGCACAGTCGTGGGCAGTTGGCGTTGGAAAGAGCTTTGGTGTTTGTGTATAAAGTTTGGAAGCTAAAGTATCATTTCTAGAAGAGTTTATTTAGTTTTTAATGTAGTGCCTGCTTTTGCAAGAGATGCAAGATGTTTTATATTTTGTGTATATGGTTTTGGTTCGCGTGTGTGGAGCTTTGACAAACAGGGTCCTATAGTTTCAGGATCTGAAAAAGACTTTGATGCAGCTGCACAACCTGTGAATTGTACTGTTCTGTAAAAACCTGTTTTGGTAAAGTTATCTATTTTCTGAATATTTTCTATTTTGTGTTGCGTAAAGACTGTATGACAAAATGAAAAAGATATACAAAGTTTTCAGACAGC